ACATATGCAGAAAAAACCCTTCAGAGTAATTTACCTGCCGACAGCTATATAAGAGGCACTGTGTGGGTCATATGCAGAATAACCAATAATCATAATATACTTATTGAGCAATCAAAATAGTTATTGGATTTCGCTCTAGGGGATTTAACAGGTTTCTGCTTGCAACAACAGCCTTGGCCTAACACCCCCCAACTTTATCTGTGTTCCCTTACAGCTCTGAGCACTATCTCACTTTGTGAGCTGTGCTCAATCTTGTTAGCTGCTAAATTGATTGCATGTCAGAGGTTACTGCAGGTCCAGCCCTGTGCCGAGGAACGCCAAGGGTCAAGCTACAGTGGGAGGGCAGTGCAGCAATGGCAGACACAGGAATACAGGGGGAGGAGAGGGGGGACTGCTATACACGAAAGACTGACAGAAATGTGGGACGTCAGGTAGAGAACAGAATTCAGACTTCCAGCAGTCACCCATTTATCACAATCTGTTCACTAAAACAGCTGTTCCCTGAAGACCAATTCCCCACAAACGCACCACAGTGGACAGCAGACTGTTTGTCCTCCAGAATGCTGACAGCTCTCACAGGAATGTCCTGTTAAAACGTGACACACAGAAATAAACAAGCAGACACTAAAACTGTATGCAAAGGGAAATGATGTAGCTAGGAACAAGTGGAACATTGCACCACGTGGCTTCACCGCACAATTGCACATTTAATCTATTATAGCAACAATCCACAAAAATAGGCACATTGCTAAGGCTGGGTATTGTGGCCCAAAATGCTGATTTTCCATTTTGGAGGCTAATGGATGATTTACTACGTCAATGTATTAGTTTACTCGCCACTCAAGACAAATTGTGACTCAAAAACAGCTTATTAAAATAAAACTGAAGGCCTGCACAAAACAAACAAAGAAAACAGCACCACTAGCAACTGCTAATGTTTACATATTGCAATTATAAAGAAAAACACTAAGAGCAGCTGGGCAACAATAACAAAATAGCGAGAGGGAGTACAATGTTATTCCCACCAAGCTAATGCTTGTGTAATTTCTCTTTGCTGGTGCCCGGTCTTGTTACACAAAATGAAAGTAAGACCACTAATGTTAGCCATTTTTAAACTGTGGTTTTGGAATTGAAACAGAAGCTAACATGTGAATCGCATTGCTCCCATTTTACAACATGCCTTTGTCTAAAGTCCTGAGCAGCTCTGCTGTGCATCTGCTGCTAGTTTTCAAAAACTTTACATGTCTTTGCAAAACTGACCAATTTTTATATCTGTGGAGTAATCTGACTACATTTCTTCATCTTCATTTCATCATAACAGGAGCTCAGAATAAATATATTGCTGAGAAATCTGACTATTTTGCCCACCCACAGACACTCATCAAACTTCATGGCAACAACTAATAAAAATCTTGCCATCAACATTTCCCGTACTTCACTACTAGGACTGCATTTCTAGATGTTATACAGTCTGTCTCCTTCTACCAAGAGAAAATATAGCAATTTGAAGCAGCTTGTTGGCAGGCAGATCGTAAAGAGAAATAAAAAAACTCCACAGCAGGTGTCACCTCAGGGAGATGAACAACTGCAACGGAAGGGGATTTCAAAAAAGGGGGGCACGTCAATCGGCCAAAGTGACCTTGAGGGACAACATGCACGCTGGGAAAGTAACGGGGTCGTCCGTGCACGCAGGCTTGCTAAAACAGGGCGGGAGTGGTGGTCGCACAGGAGGGTGGTGTCGGCTTTCTTGCGCACATGGAAACAGCTGTGTAGACATGCACAAAATGCTGGGCGGGAGGGTGGGGTGGGTTGGGGGAGATGAGCAGCTGTCGGAAGGGTGCACTGAGAGATGGGAGGAATTGGGAGAGTTTAAAATATTCAACTGCAACTGGTTATATTTTTGCTCTCATTAGCAGCACTTAAATCTGACAAAGGAAGGCATTTAAGCCGTTCAGTCACATTTAAGCCCACAAAACAGACTCAGAAAGCAAAGCCCATCCTCTGAGAATTAGTTTTAAACAATACACAAAAAACGTCCAACACTAATGTAAAGCTTTATCAACAAATTAGCACAGTCATTAACTTTTTGTTGTTTGGCACAGTATACTTGCCTTCATGGGACACCTTCAATGTGCAAGAAATGGCTGAGATATCGAAGGCACGTAGCATACTCCGTGGGGAAAACAGCGTAACTTGTTAGGTCAAATACAAGTCAGACCTCAGTCTATCCAGTCTGACTAGAAAGGAAAGAGAGATGCTATCTTTACTACTCAAATGTCAACTACCAACCGCCATTAAAAACTTTTTTTTTTTTTTTTTTTAAATCACAACTCTACACTACTTTTCTGAACTTCAGGAGGAGCAGACATCCAACATCACATGAAACGCAACATAAACAAGCCTGATTCTACTAGATGTGGTGGGGCCTGCTTACAATATATACAAGGGGACGAGGGGACCGAGAGGAGGTCTGCTCCAAATACCACATCAGAGTTTTGGCCCCCTCCACAGGGAGATGAAACCAAACAACAGAAGAAACCAGACAGTCAGTCAGACAGGCCTTCACTACCATCATCTGATACACACATGCAACTTTTAGCAGCAGGGTAAAGTTTGGGCTGGTGCCGTGGAAACCCTCAAAAACATCAGATGTGCCGTTTTAGAGGAGCGAGACTGGGAAGTTACAAGTGATTTCTTAAACACCAGAGGACTGGATGGTTTTGCAAGTTTTTTAACAACGGGCGCTGCAACGAAGCATCAGACCAGAGCACCGAGTCGCTTGCAGAAAGCAAATGCAATTTTTATCCAACTCCTCCTTGACTTAAGAGTCCGTTTAATGAACACAACTGGGAACCTTTATCAGCTCAGCCTTTTTAGTATTCCTGAGATGCAAACAGATACATTTTAGTTGGCCCCATGTATAAAAAGTCAATACGACAGAAATGCATTATTTGCATGGAGTTCTTTCTTTTTGAGGGGTTAACTCAAAAGTTTACCAAAAGCAGCAGGGCTGAGCTGTTAACAGTGTGGATGAGAGGAAAAAAAAAAAAAATAAGAGAATACATCTGCTTCCTAACTCTCCCTCAAATGAAAACATCAACACACCCAGCAGTCCCACATGACTACAATAAAAGTGCAAGATATTTCATCAGTTTTGTGAAGTATTTATGGGGTGTGGAGACGATCAAATTGGAGGCTGAAATCATTAAAAACAAAAAAATATGTGTGCATTGCAGAGCTGCAGATTTTCTGAGAACATCATGCATAAGAGACTTTAGAAAGCCTCAAACTAAATAAAAAAGATGAAGAAGTGCAATTTTCTACTAATAAAAAAGCACTATAAAAATGTCCTATAGGCAAATGAGAAGACTTCACTATTTACTGCACCAAAGCAGCACCCAGGCTTAAACTTAAAGTCAATGTACATCCGTTTAGCGTTATGCAAGCTTTAGTTTCATAGTGGCAATAGGTAAACAGCTCCGAATTTGTCTTGTTTATCGCCCATCAAGACGGCCAGAAAATCTTTGCAGACCGGTTTAGCAACTACATACTACAGAGCCTACTCATCCAGACATGTTACCGAAACTCATAGGCATGCGCTACTTTCAGGTCCTCTTTCCTCTTAAGAAATAGCCCGTTCATGCTGTAGCTTACGGGGTAGTCTTATTTTTAAATTCATCGTGATGTCCGATCCAAAGCTACACACAAAATGCATGGGGACAGTCTGCCAGGGGGCTGTGGCGCTCTCTAGTGTCCCCAGCTCAGTTACATAAACCACAGGTCCAACCTTCCGCTTAGACCAGCTTATGATAATGATACTATCAACATAAACGGCAAACAATCCTGGGTTATCAAAGCCACAGGGGGTGCCAAAATCAGTGACAGGGCGCAGGAAACAAATTCTGGCTGCCAAATCCAGCCTGGACGGCGCCGCTGACAAAAAAAGGGCGACGCAGTTTTGGTAGGGCAAGCTTGACTGGTTAAAAAAAAAAAAAAAAAAGAGGGGAAAAAAGAAAACACGACGGCAGCTGCAGCAGGGGAAGGAAATACAGACAAGCCCCCCTTTTAGGTTTTAAGGCAAATGTTGTAGTAGCCAAAAGAAGAGGGAGAAAGACAGCGGTGCCGCGTTTAATGAAAAAGTTAGACGGCTGAAATAATCTTCCGAGTACCGCCCCCCCCTCCTCGCAGCAACTCAGTGGCCATTGTTTGGGCAACAAGCAGAGACATTCCGCCGTGCTGTTAGACTCGGCCGCTGGGCAACAACTAACACGACCCTCGGAGTAAGGCAAAAAGAGAGGAACACGAGCAAACCCAAACACCCCCCAACGTGTGTTTATAGCAGTGTTAAGCACAGCAATTGCAGTCTGTTTATTACATACGTGGCCAAGTTAACGCCACTGCCTGGTTCTTGAAGAGTTCAGCAGACACCCAGACAGGCTAGCTGAAAATGTTGCTAACCCGAGCGGCTAAACTGCTGTGTGGAACATGTGGAACCAGGGCCCCAGAGATTGTTCTTTTTTTTCTTTTGTTAACTGAGAAGAACATTTGTATAACCTGAAATAAATAAAGATATTTTTATATCTTTATTTATTTTTATAAACTTGCCTGTTAACACGTCTGACAACATGACAGTGATATGCGATTTTTATTTCTTAGGCAAGTAAGAGAAAGTTTTCATCTCGTCGTCACAAAGTCAAGAGAGCAGCAGAAAACTCCGGTGGACTCGGAGCTCAGGGAGAAACAAACTCGCTCCGGTAGGATACTAGTGCGTTTCTTGGGTTGTATTGTGGGGCAATTCTCACTGGAAGTTGGTACTACTAAGCCTGCCACCGCCTGGAATATCGGGGTGCCCTCTGCTAGTGTATCCCCGGGTTTCGCTAACGATTTGCGGCAGGGATGCCCAGCGAAGCCGTGCCGACACCGGACTGCACCGTGGTCATGCTTTAACCCACTCCCCCACCTCTCCAACGAGGAGGGTGTCTCTCCAGAAGGCCACTTACCTTCATCCAGAAGCCTCTCTAGGTGTGTGAAGATGCCGCAGAGATTTGGCAAACTGGTCATGAGCTTCTTCTCGTTCAATAATTGCATTAAATAGTCGGGACTCGGCCTCGGTCGCTCCTTCACTTCGACCTCTCCGACCATCATCTTTGCGGCGAGAGCGGAGAACAAACCACCGCGAAGCACAGAATCCTCTTTTAAGGAAAAGAGAAAAAAAACGAAAAAAGAAAAAAAAAACTTGCGGCTCCTCGTTTCCCTCCTCCTGATAATCAGAAGACTCTGTGAGACCCCCCTAAAATCAGGTTTGGTTTGTTCTTGTTGTTTGAGTGGAGAGGGGGGACAAAAAAAAGAAACCGTTATCTCCCTTCCACAGACTCGTGCGCTGTACTCTCCTCTACGCCGTGTGCGCTCGGGGACGTTCGATTCCACCACTGTAGGCGCGAGAGCCTGTTCCACCGGAAAGGGTCCGCCCTCCTTAACGCTCATTGGACATCTTGCTTTACAGAGTAACCAATCATCCCTCAGATCCGAGCTACAGGGGCGGAGTCGAGTCGTTAGCGGAATGACGGACGGGTATTGTAGCCAATGAGACGCAGTGCGCAGGAATGCACATAATGCTTCTAATATGTTGTCAACAGAATAGAACACATTTACCTCCTCCTTCCCCCAAACTAACAGCAACATTTTCCAGATTTAATCTTAGTCTCTCATTCTTTGTTCCTTAATAGCCTGACACTGCCATAAGTGAGTTCATAACTGTCATACCACACCATTCATGTGTGTCAAAGGTTCATGCAGTGGAATGGCTTCATTTTAAGCCCAAAGAACAAACATCAGACACAGCGATATTTTCACCTATTGTTTACAATCAGATTTTTGTGTATGCATGGATATGTAGTATCCTGATGGAAATAAGAATACAGGTGTCTATACAGCCTATAGTGGCTGAGGCTTGGAGGGAAGCTATTAGAAGCCTGGATACCATTATAATTCCTACAAAGGGATATCAATAACATATTTTTTCATCTTCCAAATAAGATATGTCATTATTAGGAGAGCCATACAACCTCCAGTAAAGAAATGCTTTCATAATTAAATTTTTACCCCCTAGCAACATAAGTTGTAAGCATAGAACAACAGAATGACTGTCTCCAGAGTCTTTAGATGTGGAGCACTTTCAGCCATTAAGTTGCTCAGCTGTTCTCATGGCTGTGATTGCATTAACTTTTTCATTGGCGAAAGAACAAAGAAATCCTTTATATTGCACAAGGACATACATGTAGTGTCAAAACTTCAGCCCCGTTTGTCATTCAGACTGTATGAGGCCTGGTGTGATTCCAGGTCTCGGTAATGACGTGTATGGGTCTCCTAATCTATGGAGTAGTCAGCTGATTTGAAAAGTCATACGTGGGTTGAGTGCTTCATGCACAGGGTTTGTGTGCAGCAGAGGCAGTACACTTGCCAAGACCAACCTACGAATCAGGATGATTGTGGATTTCATGTGTGGGCTCCACTCTGGGATGCTAAAATATGAAATAAAGATCAAACTTGCTGTTCATATCCTACAACATGCCTATTGTTACTCAAGACTTGTACATCTTGTTATCCGTCTGGGACTGATTGATCAATGCTCTGGTAATCAATAGAGACTTTTCATTGTCCTGTCCTTGGGAGAACCTTTCAACATGTCCTTTGAAGATTAAAATACTTGATCGATGAAATGCACGCATGCAACCAGCTACCTCAACTTAGATCTGATTTGTGTGAAAATAAACCACAACTGGTGCAATTTTAACAGCTGTTGGTTAAGAGGCACCAAACTATGTCTGAGCCATGACCTTGGCAGCCATTCGATTTGTTTGCTTGTTGCTCACCCACTTGTGTTTTTGTATAACAAAAAAAAGGAAGAAAGTCCCTACAGTGGGTGCTTAAACAGCTGCATCATAACCTCCTGGCTTTACTTTGTCGCCACTGTGTTGCAATGAAATACAAACAATCTGGTCCAAGGTATTAGAGTCAGTGCAGCATGTCCAATAAACTGATCAAACAACACTAACTATATGTGGTGATGTGCTTGGACTAACATTGTCCCGCAGTATTATTAGCTCAAAAAACATATGCCACTCATAACATACCAATCAGCCAAATCGTTAAAGCCACTGAGATGTGAAGCAGATAGCATTGAGCATCTCACTGTAGTGCAACGTTCTCTTGGGAAACCTTGGTTGCAATCACGTGGATCTTTCTTTGATACATAACAAATGCACCCACCGGTCCCACTGCAATTCCATCTGCTAACGGTGGGCTCCCTTAGCAGGATAGTGTGCACACATATTCAAATCCAATTCAGGATCCACAGAGGCTCAACTGTAAAACTCATAGGTTCCACAGAATCTGCCTGTCTGCCAGTGTCAGGACCCCAAAGGACTGGTGTCCATACCCTGATGTGTTTTTGAATTTTATTTATAATAGCGCCAAATCACAACAACAGTTCCCTTAAGGCCCTTTACGTTTCAGGTTACAGACCTAGCAACAATACAGAGAAACCCCCAACAATAAGACAACACTCCATGAGCGAGCACTTGGCGACAGTGGGAAGGAAAAACTGCCTTTTAACAGGAAGACACCTCTGGTAGAACCAGGCTCAGGGAGTGGCAGCCATCTACTGCGACCTGTTGAGCGCGTGGGGAAGGACACAAGACAAAAGACACACCGTGGACAAGAGTCAGAGATTAATAATACCTCATAATTAAATGCAGAGAGGTAAATAAAACACAGAGAGTGAAAAAGAATCCATCAGTGCTTCATGTGAAGTTCCCAGCAGCCTAGGCCTATTGCAGTGTAACTAAGGGAGGGTTCACCGTCACCTGATCCAGCCTAACTATACGTTTCATCAAAAAGGAACGTTTTAAATTTCTTCGCCTGTTCTGGTGTGACAAAGAGGGAACCTATACAATATTAGGCCGTTGAGTATGACATCAGGGCTACATCCAAAATGCCTGCTCAAAACCAAAAGAAAAACGCGTGCAACCGGCCGTTCAGCCCTAGATGAGGGCAGTTAGGAGAAGAGCATGCCACAGAAGGCTTCCTGTCAAAGCAGGAGGACAGGTATGGTTGCCTTAACAACCGGTGCAACACATTCTTGGATATAGCTACATACATTACTGCTATAATTACTGAGCTTCTGGTCAGACAAACTGAGCTCAGAAGAGACAAAATCCTGCTTCAGATTGTTTTTGAACTACCTATTATACATCAAAAGGACTTTACGATCTAAAACTCTATACTTGAAGTGTCTGGAATTAACTATTTGATCATAATTTCAACCAGTGACCAGGGAAATTCAGATATGAACGCTTTTGCATAAAGGCTCGTCACTTACACTGCCACCAATTATACAGGATATGTAATATTAGTCCCATCGTCCAAATGGTCTGCATTATCACAGGGCTATCTTAAACCCCAGATGATAAAACATCCCTTGAAGTCAAACGCTGATAAGTGATTTCAGCGGATAAGACTAAGCAGATAGGCAGAGGAACGAGAAACCCAATTTTCATGTGACTTGGAGATAGCTAAATTGTTCACGGTGTTGACTTTATGTTTCTCTTTTTTCCCCCCTCCTGCCTTATTCTTTGAATATAAGCGATGGAAAAAGTCATAGTCTTCTAGCATCAAAAAGAATCTGGCATTTATTCTGAGCTTTGAAAATGGGCTTAGTTCTTATCACCAACGGTGTGCATGGTAATTTGCACCTTGCCTTGCGCTCATTCTTCTGAGATGGGTCACATACGCCCTGTGTGTGTGCGTGAGTATATACGTGTGTGAAACAGCAACAGAGAGTTAGAAGAACTGAGCGAGACGCAGCAATAGCATACGTAAGTGTGTGTGTGTGTGTGTGTGTGTGCCCATGCATGCTTGTGTCTTCTGACAGCCCGAGAGTAAACAGAAACGATATTAATCCCCCCCCTTTTGCTCCCTCTGCCCTTGTGTTTTCGTCATTTTTAATAACACGGTTTCTATTCAACAATTAATCCAATTAACAAGGATCCAGATAATTAATGAACATGCGTTTAGGCCCTTTTGAAGAGAGGCTGTTAGCTCCCTCACAATGAGCTTTGAGAGCGCCTTGGGTTCTCGAATGAAAGTATGCTGCTGGAAACAATCGAGCCCTCGGTAGGGCCCCTGCAGCTTTTCACGGCTTGCCTCGGGGGCCACAGCCGCGGGAACGCGAGTCAGAGCTGGTGACTCTGTCGAGGCAAGGCTGTCTGCGATAAAGACTGCAGCTCTGGAGGAGGCGAACAGAGAGAGACCCACGGGCTCTGATAACACGCATACATACAAACAAGTACAACATCTCTCTCTTTTTCTACCAACTTGCTAGTTCGGGGACTGTGGGGAGAAACTGCCGGCAGAATCTGGGTCATTTACATTTTGAGGAAGGTGTGAGCACAACGAGAAAGAAATAAATGTCCTTCTAGCAACCACAGCACATACAGAGAAACGCATAATGCCCCTATTATTCATTTTAACTTGTATCATAGGCGTGACATGACAAATGCACTATTCTTCCTTGTGCATTGTTTCCCTCACACTTGTTTGTGCTTGGTGGTACTAAACAGTGTCCATGCAGTATTTTTTTTTTGTCTTCAAATAATCACCTGATGTAAGCATTGGAGATACAATGGACAAAGAGTAAGCGAGTGTAAGTGAAGCAAAGGTGGGGCATGTTCAGATGACAGGCTAATAATGAACTTCCCCTCTAGGTATACTTTAGTGGTCTGTAAAGATTTGCAAAGGTCAATCAATTTACAACCTCTAAACTGCTTTGTAGGCACTTATTTTAAATGTCAATATTGCCACATATGTTGATATTTAACTGTATCTGTGTTTACCTCTCAGTAGCTCCTATCGCCTATTGTTAGGAGAAGCTCCAAACATTTCTGGACAGAGTAATTAAAAACTGCATTTTAGCAGTAAAAGTAGTTCTTAACTTTGAGAAGCTGAGAGGTAATTTGACTTTTTCTGGACAATTCTTCCAAAAATACAGCCATAATTTATTATGAAAAAATATTTCAATAGTGGAGAGTTACATTAATGATTAAATTGGGGCAGCATCACTGAAAATACTGGTTTGAACAGCCATTTTGCTACTAAAATGTGTTTCCAGTGCTGCTAAACATCTCTGCCATCTGTCAGAATTCTTAATGCTCATCAGACTCAATTTTTCCTGACAGTATAATAAGTGAACAGCAGCACCGGTTGCATTAAAACTGTTCTGTTAATTTACATCATCTTTTTAGTTTCGTGTAATATTAAAAATGCATTCAGTGAAGCACACAGCATACACTATAGTTAAAAAAACAAGAAGCCCTCTTAGCTCTGAAAAAGTGAAGCCATTGTGAAAGTAATGAATAAGCCTGATATCCTTCTA